TAAATAAATATAATTAAATTTTAACTATAAAATTTAAATAAATTAATAATTAAAATTTTATATAAAAATAAAATATAATTGATATATGAATAAATGTCTACACTTTTCAAAATTATTATTTTGTGGCCTTACTATTAATTCAGGGAGCTAACGTGACCTGAGGGTGACCATTAGAGTTAGAGTAAAATGCATAGACTAATAATTTTCAAAAAGAAAAAAAAAAAATCCATAGACTAATAGTAGACCTGTAGGCCCAAGACAGTAATTTCGACAAGCGAGTGCCCCTAGGAAAAAATAATGCTAACGAAACCCAACGGAAAAGCGATGTGGGGCATCGTAATTGTACGCGGAGATTTTTCCCCTTTTTTTTTTTCTTTTCTTTTCTATTATTTTCCCGTTGTTTCCATCATTTTCTTTCTCTTTTCTCTTCCACTGTCCGTTGTAACCAAACAGTTTTCACACTCTTTTCTTTCTCTCCAAACACCAACCCATTCCCCCTTTTTTTTTTTTGCACTACTCCTTACCTCCTCACCTCACTCACTGTCTAATAATATGAGCAGATTGCTCATTACGCACCACCTCCGGTTATGAATACCAACACAGAGCCACCACAACAATTGGCACCGCCTCAACCGCCGCAGCCCCACCGTCCATCCACCTCCTGTGACCGACACCCAGAAGAGCATTTTACTGGTTTCTGCCCCTCATGCCTCTGCGAGCGTCTCGCAGTTCTCGAGCCTTCTTCTTCTTCTTCTTCTGCTGCTGCTTCCTCCTCAAGGAAACCCCCCATCGCCGCCGCTGCTCTTAAAGCTATCTTTAAGCCATCTGCGGGTGGTTCCGGTAATAATAATTCGAGTCGGGGTAGGCCTGGGTTTTTCCCTGAGCTCCGGCGGACGAAGTCGTTTTCTGCTTCGAAGAACGAGGGTTTCTCGGGTGTGTTCGAGCCTCAGAGGAAATCTTGTGACGTTAGGGTTCGGAATACGCTTTGGACGCTGTTTACTCAGGACGACGAGAAGAATCCGCACAAAAAGGAGGCCGGACGATCGGAGATTGTTGAGGTTGAGAACAGAAATTTGGGGTCTTCGTCTAGCGTTGGAGGTCCGGTGTTGGAAGGGAAGGAAGAGGGGGAGACTGAGTACGAGAGTGAGCATGAGGATGACATCGAGATCGTCGAGGAGTCCAATGTGGCTTCTTCGAGCGTGATTGAGGAGAAAGTTGGAGAAATCGTGGAGGAATACGAGCAGGAGCTGGTTCAGGAGCTGGTTCAGGAAGAAGAGTTGAAGCCCATGAAGGACCACATAGATCTTGATTCCCAGACCAAGAAGCCTTCCGGTAGGGATTTCAAGGAGATTGCCGGTAGTTTCTGGTCTGCGGCTTCAGTGTTCAGCAAGAAATTGCAGAAATGGAGGCAAAAGCAGAAGCTCAAGAAGCGCAGAAATGGAGGGGGTTCTGCAAGATTGCCGGTGGAGAAGCCGATCGGGAGACAGTACCGAGAAACTCAGTCCGAGATTGCGGATTATGGCTACGGCAGAAGGTCTTGCGATACAGATCCAAGATTCTCACTTGATGCCGGAAGGATGTCGTTCGACGCTGCCCGGGTGTCTTTTGATGCTGCCCGGATGTCGTTTGATGCGGCCAGGATGTCATTGGATGACCCGAGGTACTCCTTCGACGAGCCTCGAGCTTCCTGGGATGGGTATTTGATTGGTAGGACGTTCCCGAGGATGCCCACCATGCTCTCCGTCGTGGAGGATGCTCCGGTTCATGTAATGAGGTCAGATACTCAAATCCCTGTTGAAGAACCTATGAATTCCATCAATGAGGAGGAGACTGTTCCCGGAGGTTCAACTCAAACAAGGGACTATTACTCGGATTCTTCTTCAAGGAGGAGGAAGAGTCTTGACCGGTCCAGTTCCATTAGGAAAACGGCGGCAGCTGTTGTGGCGGAGATGGATGAAATGAAGCCGGTTTCCAATGCAAAGGTGTCTCCTGCTGCAACCGTAGATTACATCAATGGACCTAAGTTGGTTGTGCCAGATGGTAGAGATTTGAGGGATTCAAACTCAAATTCTTTGAGGGATGATTACTCTGAGACTTTTGAAATTGGCTTGAGAGATAATGCATCATTGATTGGAAATGGTGAAAGAAAGGCATCCAAGAAGTCGCGGAGGTGGATTAAGGCATGGAACATTTGGGGGTTCATATACAGGAGGAGTGTAAACAAAGATGAAGATGAAGATAGGTTTAGTAGAGCCAATGGTGTGGAGAGGTCATTTTCGGAGTCTTGGCCAGAGTTGCGAGGGGATCGGAATGGAGATGTGAAAGGGGGTTTTAATCCAAAGGTGTTGCGGAGCAATAGCTGTGTAAGCTGGAGGAATTCAACTAGTTTTGGTGGATCATTTGGTGGTGCAAGGAAGAACACTGTTGAGGCGAATGGGAATGGTAAGAAGAGGAAAGATGAGTTTGTGCTGGAAAGGAATAGAAGTGCAAGGTATTCACCAAATAACATCGATAATGGACTCCTAAGGTTCTACTTGACACCATTGAGGGGCAGTCGGAGAGGTGGCTCAGGCAAAAATAGGGCAAATCCAGCTCATTCTATTGCGAGGAGCGTCCTGAGGCTGTACTAAACTCGAGGTTCATAAGGTCTTTCTTTGGTTTAAAGTTGTTAATTCTGCTGCATTTGTGTGTAAACCACGCATGATGCCTTTGTAATTCTTGATGGTTGGTTGGATAATTTTGATGCATTTGTGTGTAAAACCACACATGATGCTTTTGTAATTCTTGGATAATTATGCTGCATTTGTGTGTAAACCACACATGATGCCCTTGTAATTCTTGATGGTTGGTTGGATAAAAATGCTTGCCTTTCTTGTGGGTAGCATGCTGCATCCATTATTCAAATAACAACAATTGCAGTGTTCTCTCCTCACTCTAATCACAGTATGTCTGATTTTTCCTAGTGTTTGAGTCTTTCCCTTAAATCTGCTCTCTTCATATCTTCTCTTTTGCCAGAAAAGGCCGGGACATGTGGAATATGTGCACAGGTATGCAGATACGTGCTTGCCTTAGATTCAGTACGGTTTGCTTTCCATTTCGTCTTTGTCCCACATAGAGTGGGCTGATTGGGTGAGTCTGCAATCTTTTATGGGAGCATGTTACAAAGGGTATTTGGCATGTTATGGGTGGGGGCGTGGGGCTCATCACTCCTGCCCTACTGTCTTTACTATTTGTCATTAAATTGTTGCTACCAGACAGAAAAATATACCACTTGTACCTGCCCATTTGGATTCAACCGATCAAAATTTCATTTCATGCAAGCCTTTTGCAATCAGATTGGCCGCGAAATTTGATTGTAGAATGAGCTTTATGTTTGCTTAACCATGGACAGTGCAATATATGGATTGACATGATGTTCCGGATATCGGCATCCTGTTATTCATAAGAATATCATCGATTCTTAGTCGTGTTTGGTATCCATTTAGCTTCAGGATATTCAGTTTCATGGTAGAAGGAAACACAGATTCAAATCTTTTCGTCCCTATCTAGCTGCAAGCAACAAGTCCAACATGCCATGCTCCCCACTATTAGATGGAGATTTGGTTGGTACTTGTGGACGTGGAAGTTTGCAAGTACTTATTGGATTAATTCGACTAAAATCCAGATACCCATGTTTGATTGAATGTGGTTGAGATTATTGTTGCTCTTTTTCTACCATCACTACATACATGTAAAGTCTGCAAGATCAACAAAATTTGGCTCTAAAGTCAAAAGGTAACATGGAAAACAGGGGAGAAGAGGCCAAATAAAGGACAGAAAAAGAGATAAAGGAAGCTCATAATCCCAAAACCAAAGTGGGAATGTAATGATTTGTTTATGCTAATCGAAGAACTTAATGTCAACGGTGTTAAACTAATTAACACTTAATTAACCTTAATTAGCAGTACTAATTTCCTCTTTCCGGATGATTATTTTAGCCACCTGAACTCAAAAATGTTTGCAAGAAAGGTTCATAATGGGGTCGAAGGAACCTTAATATTGGGCTTGAAGAGGCCTCTGGGCCTGGCCAAACCTTGATATTGAGCTTAAAGAGGCCCTCTGAATCCCGGATCTCGTGAAACGGGTTTCGAGACTTTACTGGGCTCCAAGCCCAGAAGGCGAAGTCATTCTATGCCTTCGGAACTTCTTCTTCTTCTTCTTCTTCTTCTTCCTCTCCAAATTTCTCATCTTTTTGTACGCCGGCGCACGGCGAGGAGAGCAGGGGAGCTTTTCCGAATCATGAGATGAAAGAATGATACTGGTGCTAAAGACTTGCTATCTTCTTCATCATGGTCGAGTTCCCCAAATCTCTGTCTCCCAAACGAGTCCTCAAACTCCTCAAGGCAGAGAAGAATTTGAGCTCGGCACTAGCTCTATTCGACTCAGCGAGTCTCCATCCGGGTTATTCGCACTCAGCAGATGTGTTTCACCACATTCTTCGCCGGCTTGTGGACTCCCGATGCGTTGCCCACGTTACTCGAATCGTCCAACTCATTGAAACCCAGAAGTGCAAATGCCCTGAAGATGTTGCCTTGACGGTAATCAAAGCGTTTGCCAAAAATTCAATGCCCGATAAAGCATTGTGTGTCTTTCAACGAATACGGGACATCTTTGGCTGTGAGCCCGGGATTAGATCCTACAATACTTTGCTAAATGCTTTCGTTGAGTCGAGGCATTGGGAACGAGCAGAGTCGTTTTTCAAGTATATTGAAACAGTGGGTGTAAAACCAAATTTGCAGACGTATAATATTTTGATTAAGATTGCGTGCAAGAAAAAGCAGTTTGAGAAGGCGAAGAGGCTGTTGGAGATGATGTGGAAGATGGGTTTTAAGCCTAACGTGTTAAGTTATGGGACAGTTATCAATGAGCTTGCAAAAGGTGGTAATGTGGAGGATGCAATGGAGGTGTTCGACGAAATGCCCGAGAAAGGGGTAATGCCTGATGTTATGTGTTATAACATTTTGATTGATGGGTTTTTCAAGCAACGTGATTATGTTAGGGCAAATGAGGTTTGGCAGAGATTGCTGAAGACATCTTCTGTTTACCCAAATGTGGTTACTTATAATGTTATGATTAATGGTTTGTGCAAATGTGGGAGGTTTGAAGAGTGTTTGGAAATATGGGATAGGATGAAAAAGAATGATAGAGAGAAGGATTTGTTCACATATTCTAGTCTGATAAATGGATTGAGCAAGATGGGGAATTTTCAGGGGGCTGAGAGGGTTTACACAGAGATGGTCGAGAGAGGAGTAGCACCTGATGTGGTTACTTACAATTCAATGCTTAATGGATTCTGCCAATCAGGAAAGATAAAAGAATGTTTTGAATTGTGGGAGGTGATGGGGAAGGAGGGTTTTCTAAATGTTGTGAGTTATAACATATTAATCAAAGGCTTGTTAGAGAATGGGAAGATGGAGAAAGCAATATCTATATGGGAGCTCATGTCTGTTAACTGCTGCAAACCTGATTCCACAAGTTATGGAGTTTTAATTCATGGATTGTGTAAGAATGGGTACTTGAACAGGTCTTTACAGGTTTTGAAAGAGGCAGAACTTAGCGGAGGTGAACCGCAAACCTTTGCATATTCCTCAATGATTAATGTTTTATGCAAGGAAGGGAGATTTGATGAAGCGGCTGGGTTCATTGGTCGGATAATTAAGTTTGGTTGTAAACTTACTCTTCATGTCTTCAACTCAATGATTAATGGGTTTATCCAAGCGTCCAGACTTGATGATGCTGTTTGCTTTTTCAGGGAAATGGACGCCAGGGGTTGCTCTCCTTCTATAGTTTCCTATAACATTATCATTAACGGTTTATGTAAAGCAGAAATGTTTAGTGAGGCATATCTTTTTTTGAAGGAAATGGTAGAAAAAGGATTGGAGCCTGACATGATCACATATAGCATGTTAATGGATGGTCTTTGTAAAGGCGAGAAGGTTGACATGGCCCTCAACCTATGGCACCATGTTCTCAACAAGGGTTTTAAGCCTGATGTAACCATGCACAACATTGTCATTCATGGGCTTTGTTCTGTAGGCAAAGTTGATGATGCTTTAGAGCTCCATTCAAAGATGAGGCAGTGGAACTGTACCCCAAATCTTGTGACCCTCAATACCATCATGGAAGGGCTTTACAAAGCCAGACAATGTGAAAAGGCATTAGAGATTTGGACCCAAATATCAAGAGACGGGCTACAACCAGATATTGTTTCATATAATATCACTCTTAAAGGGCTTTGTTCATGTGGTAGAGTCTTAGATGCATTTAGATTCTTAGATGATGCTGTAGAGCATGGAATTCCCCCGACGTTCATTACATGGGACATTCTCGTCAGGGCAGTGCTAAACAACGGGGCTTCAACAGGACCTTTGGGAGGTTAGATTGCCATAGAAGTAAGCTCTCTGGTATTTCTGGCTTTAATCTGTGTGAGAATTATACTCCTCTAGTTAGGAGTTCCAACGTTGGCCAACTCCACATAGCTTCAAAAGAATCCTAGGGAGTTGTAGTCTTGAGCTACCTATATGGATGCTGAGATCTTTACTCTGTTCTGAAATTAAGTATTGGTATCCTAGTACATTTGAAGCAGATACTGGATTGGGACATGAAGATGATTTGTTAGAAAAGCAGTTCTTTGAAAGTGATTGAGGTATGACATGATGAATGCCTGAAGGATCTTACATATTTCTTTCAATCGCATAAAATGCTTTCTAATATGATGCTAATTTTTGCAGGCTGGATTTATTATGTTCAGAGTTTAGGTATCACAAAACCAACTCAGGGTCACCTATTTAGCCAAAGGTTAGTCCTACAGCATCCCACTTTCCAATTCAGCACTGATATTCTCGACTAAAATTTTAATCCTAGGCCTGTATTTGCTGCTTCCTGTTACCACAGTCAAGCTCATGTTAAAAATTAACTGAGGCATGCATTGCAAACAAAAAGGCACAGTAACTTTTTCAGAACCAACGGCTACACTTTTTATCTGACCTAATAATTCAGCTTTACTGCTGGAAGTCTATCTGTGCATCATTCTATACAATTCAAGCTAGGATCATTGCAAACATGCTTCCCATTGTGAAATGTTTTCAGAAAATAGACTCTGTCAAATGTTGAAATCTAGATTTGTCTAGTTAGTATAATACAAAAGATTCAGCTATCTGTTGTTTTACAGTAGAATGAGTGAGAAAATATCAGAAAGCATCAAATTTGGTACTCACATTGGTTTTGGTGATTGAAGTTATGTCACCAAAGGCATATGTTGATGATGCAAAAGCAAAGTAGCTTGATGTATCAATCCCAAGTTTTAAGTTCCAACTTGGGGTTATGTATCATGCCATATTCTGATATTCACCTACAATACCTATTGATCAAAACTTTACACTAGTTCAGTATATCAGATGTATCAAAGACATTTTACTTCTTCTGGTCACTCTTTTCTTTTTCCAATTTTTCAGCCTCGGATAGCAGTGTCTGTTCGTGGACAAACTGAGTAAATAAAGCAACTAAAATTGCTCCAAGAACCGCAACTTTTCTCCAATCAGGCGATGTGATGAAAGAATCAGCAATTCCAACGACTAGCAGTGCCATTAAAGCGAGGTAAATGTTCCTTCTGATTTTCGACCCTGCAGTTTCTTTAATAACCTCCTTTATCTTCTCCATATCTTCTTTTGCTTTTGCCTTATCCACAGGCTTTCTCTTCTTCTCCCCCAGGTTCTTAAAGAACAGCCCTTCATTCCTATCTCTCTCAATTTGACCTTCGAATCGTGCTAACTTACTTTCATTCTTCTCAATCTCCAGTTTGTTCAATTCCTGCGATTCTCTAAAGGCTTGCATTTTGCTCTCTATGTTCTCCATTATCTGCCAAACAACAAAGGAACAAGAACTGGGTTATCGATGCAATAACGAATCAACCAAGAACAAGAGGCACTTTTCTCTCCGAAACACTACACGGAGAACTAATAATAGCACATACAGACCGAGTCACCAGCTTCTTGGATTTCTCTGAATGCATCTTCCCCAGCCTGGTCGAACTCTGCATTGGCTTCTTCAGCAAATTGAGTAAGATACGTAGCTCTTTCATCTAAATATTCGGTAAGACGGACCTTTTGCGTTTGAAGCATGGCTATGGCAGCAAGCAGCTCTTGCTGGCGAGTGTCTCCTTCCGGGGGGGACGGTGACTCTGCCTCAGAATCATTCCCATCTGAGTTATCGTTCTTGCAGAGACAGGGGATGGAATTCCTTGAAATGGGTAGTCTTCTTGTTGGGAAAAATGCATGCTTTCTGGGGATTAAGGATGCTTGAATTGCTTTGAGCGCAATCATCTCTTCTCTATTTCCTCAGGGGAAGTGAACTATGCTTTGTACCTCTCGTTCGGTTTGCATTATCCAGATTTTATCGAAATAACAATAATGCCCTTGATAAATTTGATAGGCATAAGAAGCCATTGAGGACATTATTGACATTTCATCCCCTGAAAAAAATTTCTAGAATTCTTAGTCTGTTACAAAGAATTAATTCCGTAAAATATCAAATTTATTATTATTATTATTATTTTGAACATTGAGGAATTTTGAGAAATCAAGGATTTTTTTTTTTAATTATTGGTGATATTCAAATTCCCAAACAACTGAACATACTAAAGTTTTCTAAACGAAGTCATTGGGTGGGAAGCGCGGTTCTGTATCAAATTTATTATTATTATTATTATTTATTTTGGTGATTTTTATGATATCCTCGCTGTTTCTGATTCATCTTTTTTAAAGCTTTGTTTAGTTTTGCTTGCCGTCCACCTTTTTCACACGTCACCTTACTTAAAAATTATAAATAAATTTATTATTATTTTTAAAAAAAATTTTAAATTGTGTCTTTAAA